TACTGTCCATGTCCACACTTGTAAATAAGGACTATCATCTAGCATTTGAGCAGGTTCTCAGGATTTATTGTCACAGCAATTTCTCTTAGCAATTTATACATACAGATCCCTTACGGCAAATAGTGACAATGGCACTTGCTCTCATTCATGCTTTAGAGAATCAGGCTGCAAATTCCTCACTCTCACCACACAAAAAGATACCCCCAGGTAAGAGGACTACAAGTATTTCACAGGTTAATATCAAAAAAGGTAAGTGATCTTAGGAAAAGAGATGGCCTGAAAAATTAGGATACTACTCAATGGACAACAGAAGAGGCCTCACTGACCCAGGAAGACTCAGCTACACACAAAGGAGAACAACCACCTATGTTTTAGTGCAAAGGATCTGGGTGTCACTGTGCCACATGCATAAGCTGGCACAGTTCAGTAGTGGCCACCTACTGCAAAAAGGGCAATCTCACAGCTGTGTATGGACAGAAGTACAACAGCAATCCTCTGCCCTCCTCCTGTAAAACCTGTGTGAGAGCCCTGCAGCCTGCTCTGGGCACTGTCCTGCAAGAAAGCTGTAACGCCCCCCAGCCTGGAGGAGAGCAATGAAGTCATTCACCACTTCAGAAAACAGCAGTAAAGAAAGGAAAGGAGGCTGTGATGTTGCAACGGCCATTTATGTACTTGAGCAAAAAGGTAGAGAACATTTTATAGTGATTGTAGCAGCCTGGTCAAAATAAATGGATAAATTGAAGCAAAGAAGATTTAGTTTAGATACCAGGAAATAAACTTCATAGTGGCAGAGATAATGACTAGAGAGACTCTGCAGCTCTCAAGACAATGACTGTACAAACAAACCCATTTATTTGCACATCACCTGAGGACTCTACAGTCCAGAACAGAACAAGGAGGGGGAGCTCAGTCCCAGAGAGATCATCCTTGCTTCCCCTCCATCTCTTTGACAGTGGGAATTCAGCCTACCTTCAACTCACAGGAGACAAAAGCATTAATCTATTCAGCACAGTCAGATCAAAAGGCAGATTGGTACAATTCATAACCACTTAGCAATTTGCTTATATAAATTGTGGACATGGAATACGTTCAAAGAAGTTGTTGATAATTTCCCTTGAACATCCTGGGATTAAAGCTTTATTTTATATACGTTCCTATAGCTATTAACTTTCCTTTAGAGAAACTTCTGTGTTTTATGCACCTAATCAGACCAGTGTTAGTTCTGTGCACAACATCTCTAGCTAAAAGGGACATTAAAAATATAGTAATTTAAAAATCTAAATTCAAACAGCTGTTAGTCACTTAGCAGAAAGATATGTAATTGGAAGAGCCACACATAAATCACTGGTCATTCCCAACTCCTCATTCCAGGTACCTAAAGAAAACAGCTTTCCCTCAGGTTAGTTATCTGCCTTGGCGCTATTTTCTTTTTTTTAATAACTAAACAACCTAAATGCACTCCTAAAAGTCTCATTTTCTGGAACTGATTTTAGCCCTCCAGTTTGTTATTTCTTGGGGGACTATTTGGCATTTATGTATGTCATTATTTCAAACAATACAAGCGGTACAATCTGAAAAAAAAGTAATTACAGATACTTGGTATTAATTGCTTTCTAGTCAAAAAAACTGTCATTAAAGGGCCACCTGCAGTTGATCTTGTCTGACTTTTGGGTGGTTTTGATTCCAGCTCTGCACAGCCATGGCTAGCAGGCTGGGAATCCACCAGCTGCATTCCACCTCTCGATCAGTTCACCAATTCTCCTCCCTTGTTGGTTTTGTTCTGGTCACTACAATTAACTCCCACTTCTTGCTCCTGTATTCACCTCCAGCTCATTAATTTTTGGCCAGTCTCCATTATCGTTTCAGCTCAGCATTCTGCAATTTCTCTTGTCACTGTTTAAGGCCTTGTTCCTCCCTCTTTGGTTTTGTAGGATTGAAGGACAATTTTCAATTGCACCTCACAAAATAATAGGTGAATATTTTGCTGTTATCAGGTGGGTGCTAGGGAAGCTCACATATATCTCACCAGCTGTTTTCCTTCCCAGGCTGGTCTGGGAGCACAAAGCAATCTCAAGGCTGCAGCATCATCAGCAAACAATTCTTTCCCCTGAAGGCTTAAGAGTTGCTTTTATGCACAGGCATGCATGAGGAACAAGGTGTCTGATGAACCTCAACTTCTCAGGTGGAAGCTGTCAGCACTACGTTGTTATTTTAATGACTATTACAATTAATATCTCCCAACAGAGGGTATTTATGGCTTCCTGGGCAAAGCCAGATGGCACTGATTGATGGCTCTTCCCCAGGAGACAGAAAAGTGGTCCCTCCAGATTGGGTTGCTCTCTAGGTCCTTTTTACCCCATTGGACTTGTGGCCTCATTGAAATTCCTAATAGGTATATTACAAACAAGCCTTAATCTGAGTTAGTCTTAATTCTAGAAGTGGATCTTCACCTAGACTCATACAATCATAGAATAATTAGGGTTGGAAAGGACCTTAAGATCATCTAGTTCCAACTCCCCTGCCATGGGCAGGGACACCTCACCCTAAACCATGTCACCCAAGACTCTGTCCAACCTGGCCTTGAACACCACCAGGGACGGAGCATTCACAGCCTCCCTGGGCAATCCATTCCAGTGCCTCACCACCCTTACAGGAAAGAACTTCTTCCTTATATCCAATTTAAACTTCCCCTGTTAAATCCATTACCCCTTGTCCTATCACTGCAGTCTCTAACGAATAGGCCCCCTTCAGATACTGGAAGGCTGCTATGATGTGGCAACAGATATTTACCTTTTTCTCTGGGGGAAGCAAAAGGAAGTTTGTGCCTATTTAGAGTTTTCAGTACAAGTATGGTATCACTGGCAGGTGACAGTGATCAGGTGAAGTATCCAAGGTTGCAGACAAACCCTTTAAAAATCAGGTAGTGGACAGATTTTATTTGGGCCAAATTCACTCGTGTAACAATGGAGTTGAAAACTAAACTCAAATTAAACCTTAATAGAGCTCCCCAACTACTTTGAAATCCTTATTAGTATTGCATCTTTTTACTTTGCAGACACTGTTAAAACCTGTGCAAATCCAGGGAAAGACAGCCATTCAATAGTGACTTCGCATTTATTGAGAGGGCAGAACCAGCACAAGTACAAAACGGGTTCAGGGATACAAGTGCTCCACATCTTTTTATCAGCCAGTTGGTGTTGCAAAGTGATTTGGGTTGGGGGGGGCAAATCTTAGGGAAAAGCTGCATGAATTACCTAATGCATGAATTTGAAACATTAGTTATTTGAAGGGAGTGATTCTTGAAAGCAGACACTGGTATCTAATCAGTTAACTCCTAAGGCAAAGCAGGCAATACCAGCTGATGCAATTGGTGGCAGCAGGAGTTTGGAAATAAATACCTCTGTTTGGCACTAAGAAGCAAAGCAGAGCTCAGATTTCTGTGGATTGCCTGGCCCCAAGTTCATGCCTCAGAGCTCACATTTCTGTGGTAAAGGATAAGAAAATCTCAGAGTTTAGGATCTGGGGTTCAGTGTGGCTATTTATTAAAATTCATCTGGCCTCCCTAGACTGTGAATATTTTGTGTTGACCTAAATGGAGTTCATGACAAATTCAAGCTCTCATGGGGCATTTCCAGTGTTTTCTGATTAAAGCTTAATAGAATTATGCTAGCAAAACGTGAGACACTTGAAAGCAGTGGTTATCATCCTAGCTAGAAACCAGAAACACAGTGGCATGTGAAAACAAACAACAGATAAAAATCCCAAACCTCCAGAAACCCAAACTGAGCAAAACCTGGGGAACATCCACTGATTTATAATGTATTTTGTCCTGGGTTCAGCCAGGCTACATCCAGGGCTATGGCTGCACCAGGCTACCAACAGAGCCAGCAGAGAAGCGAGCATTCCCTGCAGAAGGCAGCTCAGCTACCTTCTGCCTACACAGCTTCTCTGTGCGTGAGCCCTGTCCCTAGCAGCAACAATGCAGGTACGTATCTGACGTCAAATGAAGTGACGCTAGCATTACTGTATTCAAATTTATTCTTATTGTGTCTATGACTGTCACACTGTGCATTTTTAGATTTGGTACTCCCTTCAAAACAAGACTCCTGTTTCTCAATATTAAACTAAAGTCAGTATGAAGGATGGTGATAGAGTTGGCTGTCCTGAGTCTCTCCTGTGTATTGCTAAAAAGGCTTGTTTGTCCTATGCACCCTACCATGACCTGGAGGCATTAGCATTTTGTTGTTTGACTCATTGTTTTTCTATTCGGAGTTCTGCCTACACTCCTTACATCATCTCTGCCAGTCAAAACTGCTGTTTCTTAGGCCAAGCAGATTTCTGGTTACAGCTCAGTTTAGCTTCAAAAGATCCATATCTGCAACCTCATGGGAAATGCCTAAATGCTCTCATAAACCTGGCAATAGGTCTCTGTGAGTAAACTCAGCAGTATATATTCAACAGGACACCTGAAGAGAGCCCTTGAATTAAAATGACAGCTTCCTGGGTTGCTAACCAAGGTTTGCTCTACAGACAATACACTTACCACTCCCAAAACACTACCTTTTAAGTTTAAAATGTTGCATTGGATCACAAGTGACAAGGAGGAAGAAACACTGTCCTTGCATTAGCAAATATGCACTTGTGTTCTCAGCCAGCTTTGTTTATGTCTGTTCCTAAAGAAATGCAGGTCAGTCGACCTGGTCTTGGGTAGTGACTGAATCACTGTGCAGGCTGCACTATGACAGAACGAGTCTAGCTTAAAGAAAACTTTGCTTATGTGATGATGAGCAAGCTGGAAAGGTCTCTCTGCTGCTAGCTTGATAAAAAGAAAAGAAAAAGTAAATGATTATCAATAAAGTGTGTTTGATTAGGTGTCACCGAGAGAAAGAAAATGCCATTTCATGTCACTTTTTAGAAAGCACAAGATGTGTAACGTTTGGGGATGATTTTGCTCTTGACTGATCTTCAGATTCAATATTAAAATCTCAAACTTCCCAAAGGAAAGAGATTCTGCATCTTTTAATGAAAGATAAAACAACAATATAAACATACACAAATTTACAGAGAAAGGATCAGCTTTAATACATCTGGAGTAAAAGGTGTTCTTTTTTAAATATGGTATAAAAATAAATGCAAGAAACATTAACAGAGAATATACAGACAACAGACAAAGACACAGGCTTTCTTTCTCAATGTGAATACATCAGTGAAATGAAACCTTCTGTGCTAATTTATTGTGCAATAAATGTGATGCCATATGTATATTTATTAATATATGCATTTTTTACATTTCTTCCAGGTTTTGATTGACTTTTTTTTTTTTTAATAAACTGTGCCTAGCAGAAGCTTTTTTTTCACTGTACTTCAGCTTGCAGAAAATAAAAAGACACAGATCCAGCTTGATATGAAGGAGGAAGTGAGCAGACAGTTTTCGAAATGGTGGCATCGAAAGGCTAGAGAGTCCCTCGGAGTCTGTAATGCCTTAGTATACACAAAAGAAAACAAGTCAGGTCCTTGCTCATGCAACATCTTGTTCTACTGTCCTCTGAGTCAGGCAATCAGTGAGCTACAAAGTATGTATAATGATTTGAGTCTGCTTCCATGCTACAAGGTGATCCTTTTAGTAGGACTGCACTAGACTGGTTAACCTCTTTGATGTGAGCGATTTCCCCTGAGGAAAAGATAAAAACAAAAAACAAAAACAGAAAACAGAGGCATGATCACTGCAAACCTGTTCATCAGCAACCACTCAGTGTTGCCACATCACTGTCAAATAACTAGGGGCACCAACTGGAGTCTGTCAAATCTTAAACCACTGGAAACCCTTATGCTGAAAACACCTGCACTGCAGCCAGCCAGGTTGTTTCACAGAATAAACCAGCAAATTTAAAGGCCATTTTTGAACGAGATTGGTTTTGGCTGATGATAAACTAATGCTGAGGGTTTTGCTGTCAGTCGTACTCAGAACTTGAAGGAGTAAGAGTGCCTTGTGCTACAAAGATGAACGTGCAAACTGCAGTAGCTCTGTCACAGAAGACAAAAAGCTACTTTAAAGTTAAGGTAAGAAAGTAAGAGGCAGATTGCATGTAGGTGGGAAAACAGCTTTTTCATGAATGCAGCTATTGGTTTGCTGAGACTTTATTTAGGGACATTGGTCAAGTGTACCACATGTGACTGCATAACACTGCTTTGAAGGTGTTTGGATTTCCACACTTTTATTTTCCTCATCATACCTCCTTTTGCAAGGATGCAGTTTCAGTTTTACAGTACGTTCTTTTAACAAGTTATAATGACTGGCCCGTAAGAGTTAAGCCTACAGCATGAAGAGGATGGTATTGGGTGTGTCACCATGGTATATTTCAGGCAGATTTGAGCTTTAGCTGAGCCAGACAAAAACCATGAAGCCATATAACAGGAATTAGTTCTCCTAAGACCACATAAAAGAAACAGCTCTCCTAGGGCCATCCTGCTATGGCTCTGATCCAACAGAGGCAGAGCTGGCACAGCAAGCTTACATCACTCCTCAAAATACCACTGGCATACCCTGGTAAGATAACACAAATAGATCATATCATTAAATAAAAGATGGCTCTAACTCTCCCGTTAGATACTTAATACTTACATTTACTGTATTAATTTTAACTGCACAACTCAGAAAAGTGAAACTGATTTCAAGGAGATTACAGTAACAAATACTGCAGCTATGGGGGAGATGTTACATTTTCTGCAGTAAATGGTAAATTAACTTATTCTGCCATATCAACGAGTTAAGTCATCTGCTGTATTATAACTCAGTAGAATTCCCCAATTTAATATCTATTGTCATTATTAATCAAATTTATGCTCACAGGAATCTGCAAGCTTGTTTCAAGCATTGGCTCAGAGGCAGTATATCAGAGTAGGTCTTCACAAAAGTAAGAGTAAATATTTTATTTTGTGCTATGAAATACAAGGTGAAAAAAACAGGATGAGTATTTCCCTTACAGTACAACTTTGAAGGGAACTCATGATCTGCAGTGTTGGGTTACACTGCCCATCCATCAGGTTCACTGTATCACCTGACAGTATTAATACTCACTGCTTCTGAAGACAGAAAGTGATCTTCCTGGCATGATGTCTGCCCTGTATTTAGGTTTAATTCTGTCACTTTTTACTTACATTAAATTCACAGCTTCTTGACCCTTGTTAACACTTAAGTTATGTTTTCCTCTAATGTAACAGGAAAGTTGTTATAGTGAGACATCTTTTCCTTTTAAAAAGTCAAAAAAGTCTCAACAATTGTGTGGTACTGGAATACAATTTCAAACAGCATGTCCAAAATTCAGTGTATTGTTAGGCAATTCATGATTGTCAGCTTGGACATAATCTCAGAAAATATTTAGCATATGCTTAACTTTGCCTTTCATTAAGTTTTTATGCTTAATTTTAGAGGTCTATAGGCCTGGCTACTTTCTGTAGATATGTACGAGTTCCCTTTAACACTGACCTGCATAAACCAGTTAAGACAATCAAACCAGGTATTCTCTACTAGTTAGTAAAACTATTTGCTCAATACTGCAAAGCTGCACCAGCTTTTATTGTGGGATAAAATCTGTGCAAATATTGGTTTTATTCACAACTGATTATCTGGGAGTTGCACCTTTCCTGGAATTTTTAGATGATCCACAACAAAATTCTAGCATCTCAGGAATTAATTGTGATACCACATAAACTAGGAAGATTTGACCTAAAAGCAGCACAAAACCTAGCTGTTAGTTGATCTGAATTGTATAACCTTATTCTACATATTATTTGAATTTTCCCCTATAGATACTGACAGCTGTCATGACTTTCTTTTTCCTGTGTTGTACATCACTTGCTTCCTGAATATTGCTGTTCTCTGAATACTTTTTCTCTTAAGCCCTACACTGATAGGAAATTCTTGGCGTGGTCCTCTCCTTCACCTCCCTTCCCTGCCTCAGAGAATATTACACTTCTAGATATGAAGTCTCCATCTGAACAACAACAACATATGTTCTTTTTCCAGGTATTAATAGTTCTAATTTATCTTATAGTTGGAAAAGTGATAGCTTAGAAGATACACTGTCCTTAAGAGATGTTCCATGTTTACTCGGAATCATACTTAGTTCTGTGATTGGGAAAATAAGCACATGTATTAAACACAGAATCCATGGCAGCCCCAAATACAGAATTATCCCACCTTTTTATTCAGGTCTGCAGGGATTTGTTATTTGTCAGTTTACAGAATGTTTATTTCAAATTTTGTTCCCGAGTATACTTTTACTTTAGCTCTGTATGTTAGGGTTTCAGAATTACCACTTCCAGAAGATTTCCAGATTTACTTCATTTACAGGCTGAAGTAAAGATCACCCCTCGTGGGTTGTATTTTAAAAGCTGAGCCTAGCTATTTCTTTCAGATACAGTGTTAATAGCATTTCCACAAGTCAAATTTTGATTTGGGAAAATACATCTAATAATCCACTTTTTAGAAGTGTAGCATATGAATCATCTCACATAGGGAAATGTTTCCTGTGCTAATGAGATTAAAGAACAATTGGAAAAGAAGTCAGAATTAGTAGCAGATATTTTTCTGAAGAATGGAAAGGAGATCCTTAATATTTTTCAATATATTCTTGCCGTTAATATTTAGAAGTATATGGCCAAATTCTGAACACGATTTTGGACTGTACTGGTGCACTTTGGACATATGAATTGAAGCTATTTAACAATTTTACTAATAATACACTAGCTAAAATGAGAACTGCATATCCTGACAAGGGTGTCAGAGATTGAGGAGGCAGCACAGCAGTTTAACAAGTACATCTAGGAATACTAAATCAACTGGCCTCAGTGTTCAGTCCCTACTTTAGTGTATAAACTGTTTAACATAGAATTGTCCTTCTATCTGTACTTTCAGAGAATTTAGGATGGAAATTACAAAATCATGTGCAGATGTTTAAGCTGCTAAATACAAACGTGCTGACTGACCTATTTATGCATCATGACACTAACATCTCAAATTAGCTGGCAAACAAGTCAGCAACAACTCTGTGGCTTATAAGAAATCAGTATGCAATTTATATAGGGACTAGAGCTGAAATGTATGGTATGGGAAGATCAAATCTTTTCTCTTTAGAAGATTCTCTTCTTTTCTGCTAAGCAACCTCAATGGTTCCTTTTTTCATGCTTCTTTATTGCCAGCACAGGTGCTACTCCCCAGGACCAGTGCTGGTAGAACTAGAAATGAGAACTTCATGCATCTGACCAGGAAACAGAGAAACAGTGTGAACCCTGCTGTGAGCAAAATAAGATGCAGAGAGAGAATCGACTGTCTTGCTCTCGCTATCCTATCCCTATCCATGACACACCTGCAGCCAGCTGGCAGCTCGGCCAGCATCAGCAGGGGAAGCTCCCAAGTGACATTGCAGTGCATCACATACCGAGCCAGTATAGAAACAGCCCTTGAGAGAAGCACATCTGGAGAGGCACAGGAGCAGAAACAGTAAGTCCCTCTCTAAGATTAGGCAGCTTTTGCTCCTTGAGCACAGGGGAACTGCTTTAGCACCGTGCAGCAGGTCAGGATTCTGCTTTGATTTCCCCGGGAGCACAGGACATTGCTCTCAGCCACCCATGCAGGTGTATTTCTCTTTCAGACATGTGAAGAGGGGGAGCAGGTTAGCACTTACTGAATTTGGGGCTCAAGCTGTCAGCGCAGCTGCAGTGCTAAGTGGTTGCATGTGGAGGAAAATCCTTTTGCCTATTGCAGGGATTTGCAGTCCTCTGTTCATTTCTCATTATGGCCATACTGTTTCCTGGAGCAGTCCATAGACAGGAAGGCAGCAGCTGAGTGACTGAGTTGCTATTTAAGCTCATTCCAAACTGGCTGACACTTCCAGTTTCTTTCTCATTTTGCACTGATCTTTACATTTACTGATGAGTAGCTCTCACTTGTGATTAAACTACAAACTCTTCCCAGATGGGGTGTATCTGAAGCGTGGGGTAACACATAAGGTTTTCCAAGGCACCAATGCACTAAAATATATTTAGTATACTTGTCCTAGGCTTGACCCCTCAGGTTTTTATACCTCTCGGCAGTTCTCCTTCCTGCAAGTAGCTTAAGACTCAGGTAAATGTGTGTCAGGTGGAAAATGGCAGACACTGGCCTAACACCTGAACAGTACACACTGGCTCCTCACTTAGAGGGACCTGGCTGTGCAAGTACTACTCCAGCTCTTCTCTTCCAGCAAAACAGCTTTGCTCCAGTCACTGCAGGGCAGGACAAGAAGGCTAGTCCACACTGGCAAGTCTTACAGGTGCTCTTCTTGATTTTCCTCATTAGCTTGGGCATCATTCCTAAAAACCCCATAACTAGATTTTTTGATTAATTATAAGTTCAAACTAAAAATTTCCATTAATTAGTCAGTTCTTTTTAATTAAAAATCAATAAGGCATCTTCCTCCTGAAATGGAAAAAGCCTTAATTTCTATAAATACTTATTATTTTTATTATTGTCAAAGAAGAAGCCTTGTGATTTTTTTTTTTTTTCTGACTATATTTATGTAAATTTTAGGAATGACCTGAAGTAAGTTCAAAGACTGGTTAGGATTTCTTCCATGACTGTACACTGAACATGAAGTCCCAAATGTGATACTGCATTGAAGCTTATTCACAATGATATTTTGAAGAAAAATCTAGCCGTCAGCAGCATTTCAGTGCTAGATGGATTTATGGTCTGGCACAATAGAGCCTTGTGTAAGTAAGTTTTACCTGTGCATATACAAAAAAATCCTTGATTAAATTGATGTATTGTCTGCCTTCTTTCTCAATAAAGGGACAGATTTTAACATGACAAGAGGTTACAATGGTTTAATCTAGAAAGTTTATCCCTCACTGATAAGAACTGAGGAAGCTATGAGCTTTAATTTCCATCTTTAAACCGTAATTTTCTATGTCAGGTGACATTGGACTGAGCCTCTGAAAATGTGCTGTTTTCAATGGCCTTCACATTTCCCATCTCATGCATGAAATGGGCTAATGTTTTTTCCCATGTGAACTCTTCAAAAGAATTTCATTTTTTTTAATGACACAGAAACATCTGATTTCCCTCTCTCCACTACTGTAGCAACCAGTGAAATTCTCAGTCTCCCTGACTTATGCCTTTAGCTTCTGTACTCACTTCCTTAGGGAGCTGCAGGTGACTAGACCTTAATTATTCCCAAAGGAAAACCTGAGTGGCTGAGCTGGCTGGGCAGGGGGGGGAGCACAGAGCACACTGTCACTGCTCCCATGCCTTGGAGTCAGAGCTGTGACACTTGTGGTTGCCCATGTTACTCCAAGGCAATGCACTTATCTAACGGCATCATTCCAGTGGTGCTGATGTGTATGGGCTCTGTATTTCCATGCAGTTCCCTGGAGTGTGAATAAGTGAGGCAAACTAAAGATGGCTGTGCTTACTACAAAATGTCAGATAATAAAGATTATGCATAGCAAATGCCAGTTTGCTATCACTTCATCTATACTGTATGTGAATCAGACCTGTTTCTAACACTATTAATATTGTCTATTGTGTACTGCCAAGGGCATTAGTGATTTTGCACAATAAAATCTACAGAGCAAGCTAGACGATGTTTTTTAAACTGAGCATTTAGGGCTTTCATAAAGTGCAGCAGCTTATTCAAAGTTTTCTGGAAAGAAAACTCTCCGTTGTCGAAGAAATGCAGAGCTGAGCCTAGGGTTTTTCCATGTATATAACTCCACTTTCATATTTTCCCCATCAGACTAGAACAATGAATCAATACACTAGGTTATTTACACTTAATCCCAGGAGCAGTACAGAGGGATTGTCTTTACAAAATTTCTAAACTTTCTATTTTAACAAATGCTTTATGTAGCAAGTATAACCCACTTTCAGGTATCACTGATCAGGAGCCTCTTATAGTCTTTGTCTTAAAAAAAATCAGGTTATGAATTACGAGGTCAACTTCTCAGGTTCAGTCCCTAGACACAAGCAAGGTTCCTGGGGTTTTTTAAACACTTCAGATGGAAAAAGCTGAGGTCTAATTTAGTTCAATACAAACCCACTTTGATATGTGAGAAAAAAGAAACCAGTGAAAATTAGTCTAAATTTTCTAATCCATCAGAGCAGAAGAGAAATTGTAATTTTCATCTAACAAAATCATTCAGCAATGACAGCGTTTATCCATGTTGTAGAAGACCTGTTTCACACCTATTTTCTGTATTAATCAGAAGAACAGATCTATACCTCAGTCCCTCACTTCACAGTTGAACAAGTTAATCAGTCCACTGTGGGATATTCTGAGAAACACTTCCCTCATACCCTGCTGTACCAGGGTAGATAATTACATATTATAAACTCATCATAAGTGGGAATAAGAATAGAAGAACAAGGATGCCTGGTGGCAAGGGTTCCTGGGGCAGTGGGTGATGTGAAGTCAGTTGTCTTGGAGAAAAGGTTTGCACCTGAGCATCCTGACAGAGTGGATTAATTTGCAAGCCTCAGAGCTGCCAATCTAATGGAGGATATAGATCTAGCAGCGACGTTTTACGTTGATACCTGACACGACTTGACAGACTCCACCCGGATTCACAGGTAGTAGTTTGAGGAAAAGCAAAACCACAGTTTTTATTTTATAGCTTGCTCTGTGAAAAAACAACCACCATCTTCTACTGAAGCACTAACACTTCACATCCAGAAATCCTCATTCCCATTTCTAGCTCACAGCTGGTTTACTGGGCCTGCCTTGCATCTCTGGCATCCTGCTATTCTGGTACTTCTGCCCTGAGATTAACACGATGAAAACTGGGCACACCTGCAGGGCATAATGCTTCAGTGTTTGTGCACAGAACTGCTGGTTGATCAGTAACACTGCTCTAAGAGGGATTATCAGAGAGTCCTCTTAATGCCTCCCAGTCTGTCTTCAGTCTTTTCCTTTTTGTGCTGTATTCTCCTCACATCTGTCTGCAGCTTGCTATTTTTTTTCCTTATAGCCATCTGTTTACATACTCTTTACCACAACCAGCTCCTGATCTGTGGGCTATTTAAACTCTCATGAATAAAAGCTGTTACTGATGCTTGCCAGGCACCATGACTGGGAACAAGCCTGACTCTCAGAGGTCCCAGATGCACTACCTACTCTCCACACTCTCTTTTATTAACATAGGCTCTTTATTAATATGAAACTTCCTAGGGGATTGTCATGTAACTACCATGTACAATTTTATCATGTACAATGTTGTTTTGTCAATCAACCTGCTTAGACAACACACAAATCACACTGCAACATGCTATGGCAACACCACCATGCAAAATAGAGGGGTTTTTGTTTCAATCATTGGGATAGTTTCCTTTGTGACTGTTTATTTACTTTTTAGTGTCCTTTACTGACTTTGTCCCATTGAATCCAAATTTCTTCCTGATTACAGTGGATTCAAAGCATATTACAGGAAGCCTTTACCTATAAGAAAGGTTAAAGAATTATGGTTTTGTTTTAACATGTGAGATATTCCCACAGCCTCACAAAATTTTCTTCTTTCACTGTGTTTACTTTTTTGGTTACTAGAAAGTATATATATATACATATATATATTTTAAATAGTGGGGGAAATACTCTTGAGCCTCATTATAGGGGAGGCAGTTTCTGAGAACTGCTTCTCCTTCCCTAGGAACTAAAAAACAAAAACCATGATCTTTGCTGAAAGCTCTCATATTTTTCATTTCAATACACACAGATCCACTAACCAGGTCACAAAAAAGCCACGGACGCACACACACACACAGCAGCGTCACCTGCACAATTCAACGGACAATGCAGACAAACTTGAGTATAATCCAAGATCTTTCTACCTCTTTCATAACAGGTTAGTGCTCGCCCTCAGTGTTGGTGTACAGTTTTTATGGCATGGGAAAATAGGGATGTTTCTGCCCTACAAAAATAAATGCGTTGAATGCTTTAGTTTGCACTTTCACAATGTTTAAAAAAGTCCAAAGAAACTGGATAAGTAAAAAGAATCCCACATATCAGGAAATCAGTGGATCTTTTGGCAGGTGGCAGGAGAATGCCCGCTGCAAATTTACCAGCCTTCATTATTACCTTTGTGAAACAGCTTCTGAAAATTATATATTAAAAAAATTAGTTCTTGTAGTCCATTATCAAAATGAAATCCCAATCAAACCCTTGCACACCATCAGCATGAATTCTTTGGTCCAGAAGAAGCTGTGCTAGACATTAAGGAAGATGGGAGAATTATTATTGCTTATTTTTCCCTGTGCCAAATTTAAAAAAAAAAAAGAAAAAAAGGACAAGCTCCTTTTTAGTTTAATAAAAAGGAGAGAGCATTGAAGTCTAATGCATTCAAACAGTGTTAGACTCAGTATTTTTGGAGGTACCAGAAAAAGGAACAACACCAAGCAGGTTTTCACAGATTCTACAATTAAAAAAAAAAAAATAAAAAGTGAATAATTTCATGCTTCCCAATGAAAAAACCATGTCTCCCAAAGGTCCATTCCTCCATGTGAGACTACTGAGGTCAGTGGGAAAGGGACTAGGGAGGAGGGGTTGTAATGAAAGCACATTATAAAACTGACATTCCTAGGAAAATTCACAAACTGTGATGAATACACTTTTAACTGTCAGGTTAAATAAGCAAAAAGGGAAAATAGGGTCAGTGAGGGGAAGGGGAGAAGGATGTCCCATCAAGTTTACTAGTCTTCCGAGGCAACAAACTTACCACATTGCGTGTGAATTTCTCAAAAGATGTTCGACGATCCAGAGTGTTTTCCAACTTAAATTTAAAATAATAATAATAATAAAAGAAAACAAAATAAAAAGGACGAGAAAAAGAAAAGCAAGAAAAAATGGAGTAGAAAAGAAAGATTGATGAAACAATGGACTGCAAAACAAGGTTTGTATAAATCAGGAAGCAAACACAGGTATGAAGCTATGGGAATCTGAAAAACAGGGGATGGGCAAAGCAGATAGAGTATTCAACAAAAAAAAATTTCACGGGGATTGAACTGGTTTGATTTAAAGAAAAACTGAAAATAAAAAGAAATAATGAAGTGCACATCTTGTGTTAATGAACTGACATTCACAAACTTAAGGACTTCACACGGACAGTTGTAGCTTTCTGGTATTTTCAACATCTCTCTCTATATTGGATCTTCAGAAATCAATGTTTGAACAAAAAACAAAATCACACAGTACTTTCATATAATTTTAGGTTGTCATTATAAACAGTAGAATGCTATGGTGTTAGTAACTACCTTGTTCCAGTAATGATCAGGGCCCTGATTTTGCAAGGCACAGGGCTCCCAGCTGGTTCTAGCAGATTACTATTTAGAGCCCACTATAAAAGTTTTTATCATGACTGCATTGCACAAGTTGTTCCACATACTCTGGGCTGTGTCTATTCAAAACTCATTCCACAATCTGGACTTTTTTAATCAAATATTACATACCAAGACATGAGCTTCTGTTTGCTGAAGTGTGACATGATCAGTCTTTTAAGTCAGATTCCTACCCTACTCAAAACTATTCATGTAATAATAGGGAAAGAAAGAGAATTAGGAAGCCCCTGTATTTATAGTTGAAATTAGAAGTTATTTATATGAATAAGATTGTTTCTAAACGCATTCTGTTTATAGGTGGAATAAAGAGAACAACAATTATTACATAAGCAAACTTGCAAACATGAAAGACTATTCTTCCGGGATTTTATTTTATTTTTTTAATGTATTTGTAAAGCACTTTGCAACTTAAGGTGCTTCATAACAGAGAAAACAGTACAATATGGGATGTAAAAATAAAAATAAGTTTTGCTAGATTAACTTATTGAAACATGCCCACATGCAGGATATATACACATATATGTATATCAAACTCCTGTGTGTATGTGACCCTCCAAACACGCCAAGCTGGTCACCTACCAGATATCCAGTTGCACTGGCACAGGGGAGAGAAGACTGAGTATTGTTGCAAACATAACCACTGCTTTGCACAGTGGCAAGACAAAGGCAAGATGGACCAATACCTTTTTCTTGGCCTGTAGCAGCTCCTGGTAGGCACTGGATCGTATAAAACGAGGATAAGAATCACTTTTCATCAGTTTGTAAATGTGCTCCTGAAAGGGAAAGAAGGAGCTGTTACTCCCATAAAAGAAGACCTAAGCAAAATAGGAGGCATTCATATATGTTTCAGTTGTGGAATGTATACCAGCTAGCACTATTTTGAATAGGAAGTCTTACAGGATAGCAGGTTAGTTTAGAGAGGATATCCCCTTGCTACTCTTGAAAACATCCTCTGAACAGATGTTTAGTTTGCTTTTCAGCTGACAATGTAATAAGGAAAATACATATGCAAATTGAAAACCAGGCTAATTCACTTTCCAAGTATTTATTCTTCAGAGGCATATGAAAATTTGGAAAACCTTATCCAGAAAACAAATGACACGGACAGTTTCTAGAGTGGTTTTTTGTGAGTTTTTCTTTTTTTTTTGAGCATTCTAATTTCTGTGAAATATGAAAAACTGTCTATAATGTTAAAAGAGAGATTTGTAGAAAAAGCTATAAAAATAGGAAATACTACCCAAAGTATTTTTAAACAATCTACTGAATTGTGTTAGCTGTATCTGGTTTATTTTTTACTTAAACCCTACCCTTTACTGTAGGAAAGTTGTAGCAGCAACCAGAAAATAACAAATAAACTGTAAAATAAATACTGTTTATCAGTTTGGTACTGCATAAAATTAGAGAATAGGAAAGAAAAATCCAAACAAAACCAAAAAAAAAACCAAATGACCTTGCTTGAAAATTAGGGCAAGGTTAAATTAAAGCAGTTTTTAATTTTTTTTTAGTATTAGAAAGTCTAGAAATGATTTTAAGTGCCTTTCACTGTATTTCTTGCACTAAGGAGAGAAATGCTGGTATATATTCAAAACTTAGGTTGGTTAATTTGGGGAGTTTTTATTCCACTCCGTTTCTACAAAAGCAGACAATACAGCCAACAGAGAGAAAAAAGGACTCTGCTCCTGTTCTACATATCAATGGTAACGGGCATTAGAATGTTATTTCTGTGCAAAATATCAATCCCGTAAAAGCAAGAATAAATTAGGCTGTATTGCTAATGCACATGAGCTGAGAATTGAGGCTGGATGTTATTTAGCACAATCAGTCTATTTTTACTTATGTATCACTTTCATTTGACAAGGAGTTCCATGACATCATCTTTCAAGTCCAGAAATACTTTTCAAAACATTTTTAACCCCAGTTAAACGACCTGCTGGCTACCAGAATGACTTATAAGTGGTCTCTTCCCAACTGGCAAGCCATAAAGAGCCCACTGCAGAGGCAGAGCCCTACCTCTGACAAAACCCTGCCACTTCAGGGGGCGCGTTCAGTAACAATGTCCTAAAGCTTCAAGTCAGAACACCACAGGTACAGTCTGCCCCCTTTCCCAGAGAAATGGAGGCTTCCAGCTTCAAGTTGTATGCTGAACTGGATCAAATAAGCGGAAGTCTGACAGGAGGAAAAGTCCTGCTTCCATAAGGGCTGCATATTCCATGCCTTTCATAAAAAAGCCCAGGGAGATCTGGAAGTAAAATGGTGTTGAAATTTTACACCTATTAAAAAAACATAAATTTGATACTGACAAGGAATTCAGTTGTCCTTTACTGACTCAACTGCGAAGACATATTTTTTTAAAACCTTTAATCTTGCTAAATTGTTTATTTGTGTAACTTAAGTCTTCGCTATATGCTGCATTCCTAACTCTCATGGGGGTCAGCAGATGCAAGGAAAACCTATGTGTCTGGCTTAAGGCAGAGTACTTCAAAACATTGAGCATGACATAGAGTCTAATGAAAACATTATTGCTGTATTATAGGTTATTATTCTTATAACAGCAAAATGTAAAGGTGGTAGAATTAATCCCCCTCCTATTTAGGGCAGACACATTTTGCCAAAAAGTAGAAAGTCCCAATTCAATTCCCTTTTCTCCTTTGTGGGACTTGCAGCACCATCTCCTGACTCCCAAGATGATGACCTAATAATCAAGCTGTAGGAAATTCTGCAGGGATATGATCGCAATCTCTCCTTTTGACACCATTTCACTTTGCATTAATAATTAAATTCTCATCACTGGGCTGCTGATGAAAAAGGGAGGATGGTACCAGTTCTACTGCTTTTACTGTGAAGCCAATTATTTTCTATTGCTTTTCTCAGAAGTCTGCAAAGATGAAATATTAAGTTATAAGTTACATGAAGTGTCACATTTAATGCAGAAGTAATTGGTTTTTCTTCTGAGGAAAACCCAGAGTTCTATTTTACCATTCTGATTTTTTAACTTTTAATTCCTAACTCAAAAATATAAGCACTTTCACAAATATAGCTCTGGTGAAGAGTATCTTTTGATGATAGAATTCAAATTGTGACTAAATCAGACCCCCAAAAGACAAATCAGACATTTACAGACTGTTCTTTACTGTTGTAATACTGATTACTGAAGAAAAGATCTTTAGGATCTTTGCCCCATGTTTTGTAGATAGTAGTTTAATAAGGTATAGAATATACATCCATGAAATATGATACTTCTGCACAAGCTGTTACAAAATGTTATTTCTCACATGGGTCATATTCTTTTCATGACAGGAACCTATGAATCCTACAAATGATAACAACACTTTTGGACGTGCATTGCAAGAATTGATTTTCAGTCTATCAAGATAAGTCTTTCAAAGGGGGCTCTTGAGAACTAAAAAATGGGGGGGGGGTGTGACTTTAAATGTGACTGAATAAGAAAATTAAAAAACCAAGAACATGAAAATACCATTTTCACCGCATTAAATGCTGTGCTTTATTTGAAGTCACTTGGTGACTCCATACCAGGTGCAGAAGTTTCATGAAGAGTTTTAATAATTCATAGGCCTCATGAAAGAAAGAATGTTACACATCTGCATTGCCAAAATGGCATTTTAAGAAACAGCATTACCATTTAATTCCCAAATATATCTTATTCCTTTGTAAATATATTTCACTAGACAATATTCTATTTCACATGTCCCCAAACAGGATTGCAAGCTGACCTGAGCATCTTCAAATGTGTATCTTCCAGGGTCCTTTACATTCTGCGTGGTTTTGTCGTAACTTTTTGAATCTAGATTGATAGCGCTGGGTGCACCTGGAGCAAGAAATTCTTGCCAGATTTCTTGGACACGAGTAGGAACTTCACGGATAGGCCTCTTCTTCAGGTCTTCTACTGCTAACCAGAACCTGTGGCACAATATAGCATCGTGACTTCCAATTCAGTATAATCATTAATGAAGAGTTCAAACTTCTTAAGAAAAAAATAATGAACTAAAGTTTTAATCTAAACCATGCTAAATTAAGAAAAAACTGTGATTTTATGTGGGGATCAGCATTTTGATATACTGTCTTAGGCAATCCAACCATGTTGAGAAGCAATTATTACAAGCCTCTTCATGAGACAGGTTGAAAATCCTTCATTATTTACATATGTGCAACTTGCTTATGGGAAGGTTTTCATTCAGCTGGAATTAAACTGAGATTTCATTTCACCTGAACCACAGCGCTTATATTGCCTATAAATCTACTGCTTTTTTACATTCTTTCAAAAAATAATGAGAACTTATATTCTTGCTATCTACATGAATCTCTCGGAGCCCTGCTAAACTATAAACTGTGTAATTTTGTTACCAATACTTCACAGATCATGTAGAAACTGGTAAAGCATTTGTTTTGCTCACTATAATTTAATTTATTTCTTCAGTATTGTGTTCCTATACATATTTTTATTAAAATGCTGAATGGAAGTACCCATTCTCTCTTCTGCTTCTGAGCAAACCAGCACTGGGCAGCTACATACAGTGCAGGCCAGTTTGTTGTACCGTTTGCACTCAGTCTGGAGCAGGACCACTAAAAAGGTCTTGAGCACTTTGAGAACACAGCTGTCTAGCTATATGTTTGATAATTACTTTTCATTTGCTCTTATGATTGTTTTATCATTATTTCTTCTATGGGTGTTCAGACTAGCTCACTGCACAAAATATTTCTAAATTCAACTAGGACCCAATGCTGAGACAATGCCTGGCTTACTTTGTGATATCGAACAGTTTTCTTAGCTTAGTTAAACAAAGATGGGACAGGGTGAAGGAACTGTACTCAGACCCCCCAAGAAAGGAAAATGATACCACCCTCAACAGCAGCAACTCTTAAAAGAGGATAGTAAAGCATAGCAAAGGAAACCTTACAGCATTCCTCCTGTAAGACATTCCTTACTTGTGATGAATTAGTCCTTCATAGTCCTGTTTTGAAACTCCTTTGTAACACAGACAGAAGGAGCCCATGCTCATTGCTCACAAGCCATTATGGCTTCACTCTACTGAGATGACTTTCAGGTATCTCTACGCTCTTCAATTTCCATGAGCTAAGGACAATCTTTCTATCTATTGATCCCTTAAGATTCTCCAAGAGACAGAGAAGTAAAATTGTTCCAGTTTTGCTAATGTGTTAATAAAGTAATAATGTACAATGGCTTCTCAAGGTCACAAAGGGAGTCTGTGCCAACAGAACTTCAGTTTCAAAAATTCTGGGTAGCATCACTTATCCCTGTGAACTGCAATGTGAATTGAACATAGATCAGCACAGAGCCTGAGGACGTATCATGAGAATCTGGTGGCAATGCAGTAAACATAGAGGCCTCATAACTCATCTTTAAAAGCTGCACAGCTCACAAACTCTAATTCAGTTCAGTCTGTCAAATTCAGGCAACCTACTTTGGTTTCCTTAAGCTGCTTTCGATATTTGCATTTAAAAGTGTGTATCCTGCAGTGCTTACCCCTTCAAATGCATCTTCTGGGACTGACTGATAACTCATATGTGTCAAAGTCAGGTAAGGGATAGAAAAATGAAAGGGAAGGATGTTCTTTGTAAAAACAAGGTCTAGCTCAACGCTGTCACATTCTATTTTGTTCCATTATATCACTGCCAATACTTCTGGCAGTCACCACAAACATGCCTTAGGATGTTGTTTTCTTTTGCAAGTAACCTGTTTCCATATAGCAAGTTATACTCAATTAGGGGGAAATAGATAGAAGATAAATTTAACTTATTTGAGGACACATTCAGCTTCCAGCATAGAATAGGCAGGTTGTATAGACAGCTCCTTAGAGGCTGAACACCATCTCTTTGATAGAATAGTTTTATTTTACCCTTCTAACATTAGCATTCAAAATACCTATTGAAACTGTGAGGTTCTAAATACAGAAACCTCTGAAAAGTGGGAAGAAAATGCTGATTTTTGTGGTATGTTATGTCTAGGGTGCTTTACAGCTAACATACTTCTTAACATTTCAATCTACTTACTGATCTTTCAAGAAAAAAATGCCTGCCCTCCTCCCACAGAGTTAAAGTCAAATATGCAAAGTTAGGAAATTCCAGAAATAAGGCTGCCACTTCTTGCATCTTCAAAAATAACTTTTCTGAATATCCCATGGCAACCAATAGCACAGATGAAGCTGGAGTCTGTGAGACCTCTGTAGAAGCTGCTCAATACCATTTGAACAGAGACCTGAGTAGCTTGATCTAAACCTTACTGTTGTCTTCTGTCCCATCATCTGGGCTGCCACACACTGGGTCACACACCAGATGTGTAGCCGAGTGACAGTGTATAGCATGTGACAGTTACACATCCAGCCACATGACATGGTAAGACTCATGTTGCAAGACATCTAGGGATTATGTCCTCCAGCTGGATTATTTTCAAAGTGATGCTGGCATTGCCAGATATACAGCACAGCAACACAGCTGCAACACAGGTTCTGTCCCATTAATTGACCAAAATGTCAGATGTAGCCATCAGCAGATCCCCGATCAAGCTAATCAGTTAAACTTAGCACACAGGAACACAGAGAGGAAGGCTGCAGTGATTCTCCACAAAATGTGTGAGGTTTAGGCAGTGTGGAGACAATGAAGGGGGAATTATGTGGGCTTTGCACCCAGTGCATGTGACACAACAGATCAGGGGACAGACCATTCAGCATTTTCAGCAAAAGCAAACAAAAACCTTAACAAACTCCATGGAGAAAATCAGCTACCATTCTTTTTTTTTAGAGATAGGAAAGACTACTCTGATTCCTGGTGTCCACCTTCTTGTGAAGTATAACTTCAAGCTTCAAGATGTGGTAGGGCTGAAGATCTTCAATATAATGACAGAGAAAAACATTTAATCTTGCAACTAGCTCCTTATCTAATCTGAAGAAGTGGCAACATTGCTGGGACTTGGAGTTTAAGCTTGAGTCTGAATTAGAAATAAAGAACAGGCAATTTCAGCTTTGAGGATTAATTTTGGTCAAGTTATTAGCAACCAAAACAGGGCCTCGTAATCAATGTAATAAACAGTGTGAAGGATAAACATTATCAGCTCCCACACAGTGTGGGAAAGTATCATTACCAACACTTCTGTTCAGACTTGCAGGACAGACATCAACTACAGTTAATCAATCTTCATACTTTATAACATGCAGAACACCTCCACCATCAGAGAAAACAGAAGTGTCTTGCATTTAAAGTCATCAGAGTGGTTATCAGTAATAAAGAGCAAAAAAAATGAAAGTGATACAAGCTGTACTAAAAAGAATTTTACAGCACCATTCTCCCTCCTCTCAACTAAAAGCATTGTTATGGTGTTAGAATAGCCAGAACCACCGAAGTAAATTAAACATAAAATTAAGCACTGTGACTGAATCACATTGTAGGCACAACTGCAAATGTTCAGTAGTGTATGTGTTAGGGTTTTGGTTTTTTTTTTCTATGGGACATAATGGAAGCCTCTATCTCTATGTAGAGAACATTTCTACAACTTTAATGGATGAGTCCAAAATAAGCAGCTCACAAAATCTCAGCCTGCAGGGGGATGGTCAGAGAAAATTCATTGAGAGAAAACATCTAAATCTAGCTAACTCTTTAGTCCCTTTATTCTTTTTCGGGACAACCAGAACTCAAAGCCCCTATTCCCTATTTACTCATATATTATGGAAGCTAATGAATAAGAATCAAAGGAAGGGGCAAGGGAGCCAGTGGCTTTTCTTTCTGCGCATCATGGAAGATGTCCTGACACCATTCTCCTTTCACTATCCTAGGAGGCTTCTGCAGTCTTAGTTCTGCCTTGGAGATTGCACCTAGTGCAATACTGTGTGACGACTTGGACAGGCTTTCAGGTTGGCAGACCTGAAACCATTTAGATCTAGGCAGCAATTCCTACAAAACAACCACTGGGGAGCAAACCTACAGTGAGCATATGCATACTAACTTTCCAAAGAATTCTGCAGCACTACAGACAAAGCAAAGATGTGGAGAGGAATGGGGATTTTCTTTCTTTTGTAACAAAATTAGGTTTACAGGTGCCATATAGCAGTAAGATTCATTTCATTATCTTGCTGTCTTTAAAAAGTCCTTTTTCAGTGCTTGGACAGCTTTGTGACCATGCTTGGTAGTGTTGGATCATGCTCAAACTTATGTCTTGTGAATTTTAAACGATGGCCACCATTTTTGTAATAGGCAGTGGGAAATTTATAAATCTATTATCCAAATCGTATGTCTCATTAGCTCTTTGTTTTGTGTAGTGAGCAGCATACAAAGCAATCCCTCAAAAAAAATCTTCATGCTAACAAGACATTACAAGTCATAGCCTGCATTAGGTGAATGCAGACTCCAAACTGGGGGCTCGCAAACTTCAGTCACTGTAATGAAGCTACCACGCTGAGAGAACTGCTTAGGCAGTTTTATTCCTTTGCTATGCATTAAAACACCCCATTAGAGAGTGAAATACTATTAATCCCGATTTACAGGCAAAGAAAAAAGCCTTGAGATAGAGTAAGGTGAAACCTGGTTGCATTCCTAATTGTTATACTCTTCCTAGTTTTAACTCACAACTCAAGTTTCTTCATCCTTGTTCTGTTTCTTAGGACAGGATCTATATCCAATAAGAATGAGATTCTCAGGCAGCTTAGGCACTCGCAGTTCAAGTTAACGAAATAGTAACACTGGGATGTTTAGCTATGTAACATAATCACACTTGAATAGAAAAGATGAATCTGGTAGACTTATTTCACAGTTTCAGTATTTCTTTCACCAAAGCGAGGTGGGAGACTTAGCTAATACTGAACCTCTCTGTAGTGTCTGCAGTTCCCTGCTGTATCCTGTGTACCGCACTTGGTAGCTTGAATTCAAGGTCACAGCTGTCTATCTCAGGGTAGGTTTGACTGTGCTTGCTGTAAATCATCATTACCACTATTAGATCTGTAAAAAGGACAAGAGCCAGCCACTGACTCAAGTTCACTTTTTTGGAGTGAGAAGATATGGACAGAAATGAATCTTTTTCTCATGGTGCCTGTCAAATCCAAAAAAATCTCCCCTAAAAAAAAACAAATTGCCACCATGGGGTTAAAGGGTGAGCAAAGACATAGGTGATCTTTTCAATTTCGGCTTTATTCAGACATAATGCCTGAAAACATCAAGCTTTTAATTTCTTTTACTGAGATCTGTAACATTTTGACTCCCACACATAACAGGCTTTAAAAAATCATGTTTTCTAACCTGACTTTACTGTGTGAGCCTAATACTGGACTGATTTCCTTACATTTTGAGACTTTAGAAAGATAATTCTGAGCTTGTGAGGCAGTTTTCCTTCGGCTAATCATCACAGAAAGCACCTTTTCAGTGCAAGTTTGAGTCCCTGCCTGATTCTTGCCAGGGACAAACTTTAAGCTCAGATTCACCTTTGCTCAGATATTATAATTATAATGCCAGTATAAGAATTCAGAGAGAGAGACAGAAAAGTAGACAACATGTCAAGGAATGAGCTCTGGACAAATTTCTCTAGGGAATTTTTTCTGGATCAGTCACTTGCAGTTTGCCTGTGGTTAGTGTTGTAAATAGGATTAGGAGAAAGACCTAGGGATTATGTGGGTAACAGTCTAGTTGGCAGAGAGACAAATTAATCACAGAAAAGCATAAAGTGCAGCACACACTGAGTGGGAGAGGTTTGTGTTTGAACAGCTGCTCTGCATAAGGAATTCCAAGGATGCTCTTGAAATAAAAAAGTTACCTTTTCTTTTCTTGGTATTATTCTGATTTTAAAAATTTCATTTCATCGCTTGGATTTTTTAATTAAAAAAACATCTGCATCTGTCACTAATGAAGTTATCAACATACACATATAGATTGGGCCATATTTTCATGAGGGTAATGGCAAACAAAGCAGTTGGAAAACATCATAAGGTCTAAAGTATCTAATATACATTTATGATGCAAAATTCTGTGCTTGAATACGAACACAGCCTGTTTGAATTCAATATTTGAATATGAACATGGTCCACCTGAAGTTATTCTGCTGACAAACTTACATTAACAAGGAGGTCTGTGCAATTACTCAGGATTTATGAACCCATATCACAAAATGCTAAATGGGTCTTGCAAGATGCTACATAAAAGTAACTAGTATGAAAGACTATGCTGCACCACTTTAGACTGAGAACTGTCACAGAAAAAAGTCATTTGTGATTTTTCTGAGCTCTAGAATGTGTGCAAATAGGATTTTATACTCCTTAAACTATTGGTAAATGGGAAGTGATATAGATGACATCTGACAAGAATGTGGAATAAACAGAAAAATATGTCATCTATGCTTTTTTTACTACATACAATTTGTCTTATTTATAGAAAGGCTGTTATTAATCCTTCTGAAGTAATTCTTACCAAGACATGTCTTCCTTAGAACAGCAACAGCAATACATACTATTAGCCAGTGGATGGGCTATCATTGTTTAGAATCAAATAAATGTTGTCCTTCACTTAAAAGTAATTCTGTGTATGTACTTCAAAAGAAAATAGTATTTAAGTCTCATATAATAGCAACACCTTTCCATTTTGTGATTACTGAGGAATCTGAGAGCTAGCTGTCACACTGCTTTTGCTGTGTTAGATCCACAGGTACTAGAATCTTGTTGGAGATACTTAAAAGACCAATGTTCCCAACAGACCTGACCAACAGTGAGTCTGTGAATTTTACTTTAAAATCCTTTATTTATTTTTTAACAAAATCTCTCTTTTAATTTTACTGTTCTCATAATATTGGATTAATAAAAGATACTGAACAGGCTTTGAACAGATCAATGTTTTAAACCTGTTTAATAAAATGAGCTGAGAGAAAAACTCTTACATGGTAGTTTGACCAAATGTTGGACATGAATGAGACAATATGCTTCATTTGAGTCTCTGCTAACTGTATCAATCTTCCCCTCAGCCTGAATATGGGAGCAGGAGGCAATGTGCATGAATGGATTCTGAGAGCTAAGACGGGAAAATATTTTAAGGGTTCAAAAAATGAAAAGCATCAGACAAAAAAAAAAGCCACCAATGTACCTTACGAGGTAGTAAAAACCAAAGTCACTCTCATTTACCTTAAGTTTTCTGAACTGAATTCTGACTCCAGGAATTTGAGAAACTGCTCTCTTCCCACAGGGTCTTTCAAAGCTTCATCCATGCCGAACCCCCACCGTTTCACCCTCTGTTGTCCTGGCTCTTTGCTACAGAATTGAAAAAACACAGAACAGACAATGAGCAGAACTTTAGTATTCTCATACTTTGTGTTTGTAATTTAGACCGTCTTAAAGTTCAGCCACAGACTTTTCACTTCAAGATTGCTTTCCACTTTCCAGATAGCTCATATCTGTGCAATGTGCAGAGATGAGCAGCAAGGATGAAGTTAATATGCACGCATTTACACAGAAGAATAGGACTTCCAACTCAAAAATGCTATCAGATTTTTAAAGGTGCCCTTTTTCCTCACATGGGAACCTTGGAAACTTGTTACTCTAACTTTTACACAGATTTATTAATCCACAGCTCTTCCCATTTTATAAAACTGTAAAGCTGCAAAGACCAAAAGGATACTGCACTGCCCTTTTGGCTCAGTATTTGCCTACCTCTGTCTGACATCTTCACATTTCAAGAAAAGCCTGTTATACCCCTTTGTCCAAAGGAAGAAATAAAATTATATACCTTGCCTCCAGTTCCCAGAAAGTGGTGTCATCTGATATCCAAGGGTTTGAGGGATCAGGGGGCACAAGAAAAGGATCATATTCCAAATACTGCTCTGTATAAGCTAATAGACTAGGAAAACAAAAGAATCAAACATTGTCATGTCAAGAGGTGAGGAAACCTGATCAGTTTAGCCAGTCAACAAGTTACTTGCACCAACTGAACCATGGTAATGGGGCGCGCACATACTCAAAAGTCAGCTACATGCTCAAGCTAAAGTAGGTTTGCTCAAGCCTTTTAAAAGTGGACCTCTGAAGAAGGAGGGGTGGCTCAGTCTTTTCAAGAGCTGAAATAATATAAAATAAATGACAAACTTCCCCATTACTTCTACATAGCTCCTTTTGGGGGTCCTTCAGGCACTGATAAATTAAATCAAGCAACCGCTTCCATGCACATTTGCTTTCACAAAGGAACATGGTTTATAACCCTACGGTTTTAATTATCAGTTCCTTTAAAACCTGTTCTAAAACACAGCATGGTATTCAGGTCATATTTATTGGCCCTGCAGCTGCTATGACGCCTTTCTTCCTCTTTTAAATACATTTAATATTTTTAGTATTTCCTAATCAAATGGCAGTACTCCCAGGTGTATTGCTTTCCAAAAAATGCCGTGTTTTCTTCCAAATTCTTCAGTATTCATGAATTGGTCTGACTCAGTTGAAAAAGTTTTGCTTGCGTTCTGGTAATTTACATCTCCCATGCCCTTATTCCTGCTTTCCATTTCCTTTTGCCCCATAATTATTGAAAATTCTGGACAAATGAGGACAAATATTTTTTTTTTCATTCCTATTCATATTATATTTTGTCTCCATTTCTACTTTTACTGTTCAGCAAACACATATTCTTAACTTGTTCTCTTTATATATATGTGTGGTTTTAAGTTTATGCATACATACACAAATATAAGTAGACACACAAACATATATGAGAAGATGAAGAACCATTTGTATTTGGCTTAATTTCCTTTACTAAGTCTTATGCAGCTCAGTTTTCACTCTCTCTGTACTTGATAAGTAAAATAGAGCATTCCTTTTCTCTACCTCTTCACTACATATGCTGTAGTTAGTATTTCCAAGGGGCTTTTTGTTTTATTTGCTTTCTAGCCCATTCCTGACAAATTTTGGTCTCATTTGGAGAAAGACTCCTACTAGCGTTACATCCTCTGACCTGAAGTAAGCTCAGACTCACTTTGTTCAAGCACCAGGCTCTTCACCCAGACAGCTCTGCCAAACAGTTCCCTCCCTTTGTCAGTGATTGCCCTTTTGAAATATCAAAATGGTAACCCCAGACCTTTTTTCCATTTAGCCTCCCTGCCGGTGCAAGGTTAAACTTGTGACCACGTGGTCCGAGGTTCATTCAGTGACTCTTGGGTTTATCATAAATGTATCACAGAATATCTGGGCCATCTTTTATCAGTAAAGAATTTCATACCTTCCACTTAAAGTGAAATCGCAACTGTTCCTTCTAGGAAACCTGAGCTCCTTTGTCCCTCTTTCTTTGAAGCTATTTTCATACTGATATTTTCCCAATAGTTGTCAGTCTAATTAAAAAAAAAGATATGACAATATACTTACCTCTCTGCAACTTTTGACATTTTTAATCTATGTCTGTCTAATTGCATTTGCCAATGCTTAATCTGCAAGAAAGGAAGGCAAAGAGTTTTGTGAGCAATTCATTTTTTGACTCTATTTCCATACCTTTTTATTAGGGCTGTAATTTAACCTTAATTTATATTAGGGCACGGAAGAGAAATATATTTGAGTTAAAATAACCAGTGGACTTCTAAAATAAATGGAATTTTCCATCAAAGAGAGAATATCGTATAGAGACAAAAAAGGACCCAGTATAACATTTTCCCTAAAGGTTCATTAACAGAAATCCAATTAGCCTTTTTTTTTTTAGATTTTTGAAGAGAACTACTAATTCTTTTGACATTTACCTTCTCCCAGTTCTAACACCTTAGGGAAGTTCCATGAAGCATTAACAGTAGATAAATCTGTGAACCTCTATGTGCAAACATGGAGAGGTAAATATACTCCCAAATCTTGAATCAGTGTTAAAAGCAAAAGCAAGCTGTCTACTGCTAAAGGGGCTAATGGTCTTAGTTGCGCAAAGAGCCTACAAACTGGCCTGCCTGCTGCTCACTGCCTTTAATTGTGCAACGCAAGATATAAAAAAATGCCAGTGTTTGTCTCCCTAGTTTTAATAGCAGTTACATACCTAAATCTGTATGCCCTGAAACAAGGAAAAGGCCTACTAAACATCTGCTAGATCTAGCCTGAACAACAAAAACCCTGTGAGTTACGATAATTTTTGGTTTAATACCTACTTCCTAAAAAGGTAATTTAAAAGTATATGTTTGCAGTCATTTTTCAAACCTCTTGGTGTAGTTCATCTTCTGTGGGTGGCTTAGTCTCTGGTACTGGTGTGTGGGTAGGGCTGTGACTTCGAATGTCGTTTTGTAAGCCATAGACAGACTACACAAAAACATGGAACAATGACAGTTACTTTCTGACAATGCTTTCTACACATACCCATAGTAACTGTGACATTTTAGTTCAGTGTGCTCAAGAAGTTGGACGAGATCATCTTTTTATAAAGAAATTGCAAATAAACCATGCACTCAGACAAAATAGTGCCTTTATACCATGGTGTAAAATAAAGACCCCTCAAACCCCACAATTTCATAATGCCATAGAACACAGGATCTACTTTTATTTAACAGCATAGTAAACATAGTCTTTATTTAACAGCATAGTAAATAAATAGTAAAAGGATTTGATGACACTGAAAGGCAGTTATTATGGTAAGTCGAGATGACTGATAGGAAAAGAAGAAAGCACCCTGAAAGGTAGACAATCACAATGGCTTATTTGGATGACTCCCAGATTTGCAATTACTACTTGGTAAATTACATTAAACTTGACCTTTCACTAAAGTAAATAAGTGAAGATAAAACTTTCTCTAAATCCACTTTCCTTTTTAAAAAATATTTTTCCATGAGTTGATACACACATATACCTGAGAGGAAGTACTTTAGAGTAGGAATAAGTATTAAGATACAAAGAATTTGAGAGAAGTGTTGTTCCGATCTGTCTATACATCCCTAGAGAGCTCATGCTGTTCATGTCTGGATCCTAGTTTAGATGAAGCTAATTTCCTCCACAATTTCTGGTCAACCATTTGGGGCACAACTGTAAACTAGAGACACCCTTTTAATTGCGACCAGCACAAGAAGAATTACTTTTCTAGTTTACACTGCACTTTATCTTTCCTTAATTACCAGCAGGAACATTTCAACATGCCTTATTCAATCTACTAAACAACATGAGTAAAGCATGCAAAAATAAATTTTATTTTCATATATTCTGTGTATTTCCCAAAAGACTTTCTTTAGTGATAGCATTTACTTGATATTAGAAAATTTGTTAATACTTATTTATTTAAGAGCTTATGAAATAATAATATAGGTTCATGTATTTGTTCTTTGCAGCTGTAAGAAAAAATTGTTTTAAGAAACCATGGAACTTCATGCTATAAATTACCCTCACCTCCTGCTTTTGGTGTAACAACAGTATTTACCTTTCTTGTTTTATGTGGATTTCTCATTCTTGAAGATTTTTTTATATCCACTTCAGTAGTGTTTACACATCCAGGCTATTAAAAGAAAAAGAAGGGAAAGCACAAGGATAAAAGCTATGAAAGAACTCCATACTATTTTCATGGAGATACTGCTATTCAGTTTGTAAGGCTAAGGAAATAAATAACCTGATGCATATAACAATTTGATGTCTTTCTGTAATAGTCCCAAAAACCTAAACAACGTTTAGTCTCAGGAAGCATCTCAAGTACCATTCTACCTGGCTTATTGTAAGAGAGGATCTTCTGCTATACAGCTTTGTTTGCTGGACTCTGTGATGTTTTTTAAGACAAGTTTTACTGTATATTTTTATGCTGGAAGTACTGAAAGCAATGTACAGAGGAGCAGAAAATATCCAAATGCATACATGCTTGCAGAACAAACACGTACCAGCTAAAATCAAATTGCTATTGGCTTATTTGGGCATTTCAGAGTGAGACACTGAAGACCACATGTTTCGTGCTCATGACATTGTGAACTTGAAATAAAATAAATTCTCAAGATTTTCAATGGAAACAAATCACATGTTTCTGTTTTAGCTTTGTCACAGAAGCATACAATTTGCATTCTAGCTATCCCCTCTAAGCGTGGTTGACCTAATGAGATAAAATAAATCGAGTTTTGCATTACTGACCTCTGCTGTGAACCCCAGGCTCCTTTCAGGAGCATCTGGTTTTGGGTCACTTTTTAAAAGATGATCTTTTTTTCAAAACAGGTAAGAAAATGTGCCAAAATGAGATTTGTTTGTCAAAAAAGAAAAGAAAAGGATGGACAGTCTAAACAGAATGACTCTCAACACATATGGTTTGGCCTTAAAAGGTTCTTTCTCACAACTCTATAGCATCCCAAAGGACACAGGTCCTCTAGTGTCTCATAATTCATCTGCCTTTGACACTTCCCTCTAAGCACAAACTCTGTGCAGAAATCTGTTCTTTAACCGTTGCTGGAAACAACTACTAATAAGTGTACGCTCTCAGGTGAGTTTTATCTATTGATTTTACAGGGATTACATCTTCCACTGACAGTGGGAAGTACAAAATCTGCTTTCTAGCAGTAGCAAATTTTTAGTGAAAGTAGGTTAGGTTTCTTTTAATGGGAGTAGCAGATGTAGAATTTGCTTGCCACACAACCAAGCTGGACTTTTTATCACACTAATGATACAAGCTTTGTTTTCTTATCATAATGTAAAATGCTTAAGTGGCTGCAAGTCTTCACAGACAAAAATTTTAAACATTTCTTACATAGGCAGGACCAAGAAACAAACGCATTTCATTAAACAGGCCAGGGGTATTTTGCCTCAGGGAAATATTTTAAGTAACAGACTGACTTTTTTATCCATTAATTTTAAATTAATATATTATTATTTTAAAGTAATGTGTGCTTGGTCATATCACATTTGCAGTATAAACAGTTCCTCATCACTAAGAATAAAAATAGGCACTTAGATAATGTTCTCAAGACTGCATTGACATGCCTATTGACCCAGATTAGGGAAGGTATCCTTTGTGCTTGTGAACAAAAATGTTAGTTTTTAAACTCAGAATAACATGTAACTGTCAGAGACAATGACAGGTAGAAAAATACAAAATTCTTCATGATGGTCAATTTAAAGGCAGAAAGCAATTTCACAGGGCAGTATAGTGAGATATAAAGTTAAAAGCAAAACAACGCATCTACTTTAGGACCATGGTAGCAGCTGGCAGTGAAGAAGACATAGGCTTTTAACAATATGCACAGCCCTTATATGAAACGATTTGAATAAGAGGCAACTTACATAAGGCACAAAACTGCAGTTTGTTTGGTTTTCAGTTATGGTTTGTTAAAGCATGTCTTACAAATGGAAAGGACAAAAAGCAAAGCAGGGCCAGGGAGGGAGGGAGCATAAACCTGATGTAAAGTCTCTTCTTTTCAAAGATTTCGAGTCCACCAGCAGTAAATTGGTATGAACAGATCTAGCAATTTGCCCAGATAATTTACATTGCAGAGCTGTGCAGATTGATGTGAGGGACACAACAAGGAATTCCGGGAGTTTTTTAGGAATGAAACAAGGCCAAAGCTTTTTCTGTTTGGAAAGAGACCCAACCCAGTACTGACCTACAGCATCTAATGGATTCTTACTAACACCTGGCTGCTTAAAACCTCTCACACTGATGTAAAACTTCTGTAGGATGCTTAAGGGAGATTCATGAGAGGCTGTGTGGGCAGAAATTAGACCACGGTGTGACTGACGGGAAGCTGATGGGAGAGCAGCAGCAGCAGCCAGAAGGCACAGGCAGGGAAACATCAGAAAGCTTCAGTGCAAAAGGGAAAGGTGTATCACTACTCTGACAACCCGGGATAACAGTAGGAGTTTAAGACATACAATACCAATCTCCTAATTTGATTTAAATTATATCACTGGAAATACCTAATGTGATCACGGCCACAATTCATATTTTCTTCTCAACTGAAGAATACTTAATAAAATAATACTTGATATGAGATGGAATTTATTGTTTCTCTGGTGCTGCCACACTTCATCCGTCAATTTTTAGGAATAAATAGGAAACATGTTTTCAATTAAAATAAACACAAAAGCTTGCATTATTTGAACATTTTGCTACAATAACTGAGTCATTCTGGGAAAACCTTTGCTGGACAACATTTTATTTTATTCGTATGCCCCCATTAACATAATAAGCATGTGTTTGGATACAATTACATCCAGCTGTGTTTTCTTTTTGTTTTGCCTTTTTAACTGGACTACCATAGTTCAGATAGTGAAATGCCTGTCAGAGTGCTTTACTGCAAGATTCCCATTTAGTGTGTAGTATATAATTTGCATACTAATACCATAAATAGTTTTCAAACAGATTTCCTGAAAGGCTTGAAACCTTTTCTGTATGTGTAAATAGAATACTTTCTTCTTTCACAACTAACATTCTGTATGAAAACAGTCCCCCCTCTAGATACATAGAGGAAAATCTTGTGATCTTGTTGAAATTAATAATACAGCAAGATCATAACCAGGATAGAATTTGTCCCTCATCTGTTTTTAAATACCTGGCTGAAAAACTGACATATATTCAAAGGAAACAGTTTCTTTTCATCCATCTGTTAGCATGCTCTTATCTCAAAGTACAAATGCGATTGTATTAATTTACAGCAATGGACATGTCAGCCCAGTCATGATTAATTCACTGCTGAGATAAATGGATGCAGATAAATAATATGAAAACCCACACATAGAATATTTTTTAATTGCTACTTCAATTATTGGGTAATCACATTAGTATGAATTCCAAGCAGCACAACTTTCTGGTGATGCTTGCTAGGAGGCTGCATGATAGGATTCTGTCAAGAAACAGTGGAAAGAGAAGGCCTCTTCTGCAACTAGTGGTGGTCCAAGGACTTACATGCTTGGATCTGGCTACAGCCAACATTTGAAAAGAACAAGCACCTGAGAGAATGTTTCCTTAAAAAAATCCACTTGATATTCATAATCTTTCCCTGATAACGGTGTCAACGGTGATGAATGAATGAAGCGCTTGTAACAGTGCTAACAGTGAATTAATTTTTTGATACCTGCAGCAAATCTTTGCAAGAATTTGTTCTTTAAATCAAATGGGATGCTTTAGGCCTGGTATGTTTCCATCCAAATAGTGCAGAATACCTAATATTTATCATTTGTTTGCTGTACAAAGTTGCATATCCCAAGGGCCCCTTTTCTTGCCTGGCCACATAGCTAAAATCAATTGCTGTCAACACCTTTTTGTGTAAAAATATCTTTGGTATGATGTATTTGTAATTCTAGTAAGTGTGAAATCCTCAACAGAAACTAAATTAATGTTTACAATGACATCAGTTTAAGTTCGGTGTTTTTTTCTTTCTTAAAGCATATTGCAATTTGACTGTGAATCTGTTTAAGCCACAATAACCAGAAGTACTTTTTGTATCTGAAACAAATACACCCATGTATGTAGGAAGGAATAAGCTCATACACTGCAATAAGCTGAGAATTGTCTGTCCATATTCCTGCTCTGCAGAAAATGATCTGAGGGAGAAGCTGAACATGAGTCAGCAGTATGTCCTTGCAGCAATGCAGACAAACCACATACCCAGCTGCGTTAGCCAGCAGGCAAAAGAAGTGGTTATTTCTTTCTACTCGGCATAACGAGGATACATCTGGAACACCAAGGCTAGTTTTGGGCGCCATAAGCAATGTAAAAAAAATGTATTTAAAATGGAAAAGTCCAATCAAGGAAAAGGCTTTCTTCTGCTTGCAAAAGAGGAGCGATGACTGTTCTCTTCTGCTGCCCAAAGCTGGCTTGCAGAGCTAGACCTGTTCCAGAGATGCACCATGAAAGGACAGGAGGGCAATAGTCAGAAATTGCAGTAAAGGGAATTCCAATTAGCTATAAAGAAATATTCTTCAGAATAAAAGGTAGAAGAGATGGAATATCCATCCCTGGTGATTTTCAAAGCTTGTTTAACCAAGGGCCTGGACAATCTTGCTCAACTTAGAAGTTAGCACTGCTTTGAGCAGGAGGTTGGACTAGAGGGGCCTCCAGAGGTCCCTCTTGGCCTACATTTCTCAGGTACAGCCTATGATCTCTGCAAGCTGCAGAGACTGAAATTAAAATAATCAACTTTACAGAACACTCCAATTCATGGCACCGTGAAATTCACAACCCTGCCTTCCCCTCCCCACAACAGCAGAATGGAAAGCCGAGTCTGGTATTTGCTTCTTTACTCTTGCCTCTGCCCTCTAGCAGCCTGCGGTGCATACAAATGAACCTCGTGATGATTTTAAGGCAATGTAATTTCACAGCTTCTTCAGCTAAAAACACACAGGTGCTATTTAAAATAATTACCTCATTTCAAAATGCACACCCATAAATTCAGGGTGCATTAAAGCAGTAAATATTAAGGCAGACTGATTCACATACCATTCACAATTTCATTGCATTGCACTGTCAATACACTAGAAATAGACCTTTATATTTGTTTTGCAAGCATGGGCTAACTTGTTAAGTTT